GAACTGAAAACCCAGAAATGGACCCAAGGCAATGCGCTCAATTAATATTTGACAAAGGTGGCAAGAGCATACAGTGGAGTAAAGACAGCCTCTTTAATAAATGGTGTTGGGAAAATTGGACAGCTACATGCAAAAAAATGAAACTAGACCATCAACTTACACCATACACCAAAATAAACTCAAAATGGATAAAAGACTTAAATGTGACCCGTGAATCCATAAAAATTCTAGAAGAAAATGTAGGCAACAAAATTTCGGACATCATACGGAGCAGAATTTTCACTGACACATCACCTAAGGCAACAGAAATAAAGGAGAAAATTAACACATGGGACTACATCAAACTAAAAACCTTCTGCACAGCAAAAGAAACAATCATCAAAATGGAAAGGCAACCCACTGTATGGGAGAACATCATTGCCAATGATGTATCAGATAAGGGGTTAATTTCCAATATATATAGAGTGCTCATACAACTCCACAAAAGGAAGACAGAGAACCCAAATAAAAAATGGGCAGAGGAGCTGAATAGACACCTCTCCAAACAGGACATACAAATGGCCAAGAGACATATGAAGAAATGCTCAACATCACTAATCATCAGAGAGATGCAAATTAAAACAACAATGAGGTATCACCTCACACCTGTCAGAATGGCCGCCATCAACAAATCATCAAACAACAAGTGTTGGCGAGTGTGTGAAGAAAAGGGGACTCTAATACACTGCTGGTGGGAATGCAGACTGGTGCAGCCGCTATGGAAAACAATATGGTGCTACCTCAAAAAATTAAAAATTGAACTTCCATTTGACCCAGTGATCCCACTGCTGGAAATATACCCTAAGAAGCCTGAAACACCAATCAGGAAGAATATTAGTACCCACATGTTCATAGCAGCACTATTTACAATAGCTAAGATCTGGAAACAGCCCAAGTGTCCACCAGTAGACGAATGGATAAAAAAGCAGTGGTACATATACACAATGGAGTACTATGCAGCGGTAAGAAAGAAAGATCTCTTATCCTTTGAGACGACATGGAGGGACCTGGAAAGTATTATCCTAAGTGAAAGAAGCCAAGCAGAAAAACACAAATACCACATGATCTCACTTATATACGGAATATAATGAACATAACAGTCTGAGGAATACAGTAGACCCAGACACATGGAAGTAGGGCACAGAGTGACATCCCTCAGAAGAGGGGATGGGGGGTGGGGGGGTGGGAAGAGATAAACCACAGAACTTATATGCATGTATGCATGACCAATGGACATGGACAACTAAGCCGGGGACAGGCTGGAGGGGGGTGGGGGGGTGGGGGGTGCCAATGGGGCAAAAAGTTAAAATATCTGTAACAAAAAAATAAATAAAAATTCATAAATGTAAAAAAAAATAAAATAAAATGTCCATACTATCCAAAGCAATCTATATATATTCAATGCAGTTAATAAATGACGTTGGGAAAATTGGACAGCTACATGCAAAAAAATGAAACTAGACCATCAACTTATACCATACACAAGAATACACTCAAAATGGATAAAACACTTAAATGTGACTCATGAATTCATAAAATCCTAGAAGAAACTGTAGGCAACAAAATTTCAGACATCATACACAGCAGAATTTTCACTGATACATCACCTAAGGCAACAGAAACAAAGGAGAAAATGAACACAGGGACTACATCAAACTCAAAAACGTCTGCACAGCAAAAGATACAGTCATCAAAATGGAAAGGCAAACCACTGTATGGAATAGCATAATTGCCAATGATGCATCAAATAAGGGGTTAATTTCCAATATGTAGAGAGTGCTCATACAACTCAACAAAAGGAAGACAAAGAACCCAATTAAAAAATGGGCATAGGAACTAAATAGACACCTCTCCAAACAGGACATACAAATGGCTAAGAGACATATGAAGAAATGTTCAACATCACTAATCATCAGAGAAATGAAAATTAAAACAACAATGAGGTATCACCTCACACCTGTCAGAATGGCCACCATCAACAAATCATCAAACAAGTGTTGTCGAGGGTGTGGAGAAAAGGGGACTCTAGTACACTGTTTGTGGGAATGCAGTCTGGTGCAGCCACTATGGAATAGAATATGGTGTTACCTCAAAAACTTAAAAATTGAACTACTGAACTTCCATTTGATCCAGTGATCCCACTTGTAGGAATATACCCTAAGAAGACTGAAACATCCATCACAAAGAATATATGTACCCCCATGTTCATAGCAGCACTATGTACAATCGCTAAGATCTGGAAACAACCCAAATGTCCATCAGTGGACGAATGGATAACAAAGCTGTGGTACATATACACAATGGAGTACTATGCAGCTATAACAAAGAAAGATTTCTTATCCTTTGAGACAATATGGAGGGACCTGGAAAGTATTATCCTAAGTGAAACAAGCCAAACAGAGTAAGACAATATCATATGATCTCACTTATTTGTGGAATATAATGAACATGACAGTCTCAGGAATGGGGTAGTTCCAGAGAGGTTGAAATGGGATACAGACTGACAATACACAGAAGATAGGGCGGTAGGGGAGAGATAAACAACAGAACTTATATGCATGCATTTATGCATGAACAATGGACATGGACAACAAACCTGGGGACAGGGCAGGGAGGGAGAGGGAGGGGGGAATCAGTGGGCGATAAAGGAGAAATATCTGTAACAAAAATAAATAAAATTATAAAAAAAAGATCCATTTAAATGACTATCAGTAATTCTATTCTGTTAATATTATTTTAATTTATGCCATAGAGCAGTATTTTGGTTGTACAATCCAATTCATAAACAAGCACAAAATATTTTCTGTTGACATGTGGAATGCTATTCGATGATTGGTGCTTCATAAAGGATTCCCTGCTCATTCTGGTTTTGTCCAATGCTTTATCTCCTCCAGCTAAGTCTTGAGGTTCTTTCTCTCTCTTCTTTATGGCCTAGACCAAAAGTTACTTGTGTGCATACAGTCTGCTTCCCTTCCTTTTCACACTCGTCAGTGAGCTTTATGAGGTAGGACCTGCATATTATTTATCTCTATATTCCCAGGACAAGCCCATTGCCTGGAATTTAATAGATGCTCAGTTAATATCTACTGAATAAGGTAATCCATTCCATCCATTTGCCTTGATTTAATGAGCCATTTTTATTCAAAAACTAAATATTTTTAACATCTTTGAATGGAGAAAAACTAGGAGGAAATTAAGGGGAAATCCTTTATCCCACAACTAACGATTTTAATTTTGTTTTATTTAATATTAATTTTGAGACAGCAGGAAAAGAAACTTTTTTCAAAAGTGACCATACCAAGGGTAAACAATTTGTCTGATAGTACCTTTATCACTGACTGTTGAATGCCCAAACGAATAAGATGTCATTGTATCAGGCTCCTTTTACAAGTGTAAAAGGTAATAAACTTTAAGAGTCATGGGCCCCTGCAAGCTCTACTGGTAGTTATTTTCTACTGTCTAAGCTTGTAATGTTGGTCAAGTCAGTTAAGAAAGTCTCAGTTACCTCGTTTTCAAATGACGACAACATTTTCTCTTTACCCCACAGGCTTACACCGATGCATAAAACAGAGACAATTTCTGTGAAAGTTTGTTGGCTTTGAAAACTGTCATTCAAATATAAGGCTTCATCTTTTTTTTTTCTTAATTTATTGTTGACACTATTACAGATGTTCCCCATTTCCCCCCTTTGCTACCTCCACCCAGCCCTTGCCACCCCTTAATATTGAAAATCTCATAACTTATTTTATAATTTTTTTCCTTTATTGATTTTTAGAGAGAGAGGAAGGGAGAGAGAGAGATAGAAACATCCATGAGAGAGACCATCAGTTGGCCACCTCCTACATGCCCCCCACTGGGTATCAGGCCCACAACCTGGGCAGATGCCCTGACTGGGAACCGAATCAATGACTTCTTGGTACGTGGGTCAACACTCTATCACTCAGCCACACCAACCAGGCTCATAACTAATTTTAGATGAAACAGCTAGTACCTTCCAGGTGTGATGAATTGCCAATTCTAATGCAAAAACTGTTTGAGCCACCCTGCACAGTTAAGGCAACTCAGTGCTGACTCTCAGACTTCAGCTTAATGGCTACCTAAACCTCTCACATCAAAGGAATGTCTTTTCTCTTTTGGCATCTCCAGTCTCTGATAGCCAGGAGTTTACAGTTGTGAATACATGAGACAGAGTTTAATCTTATATTATTATTTATTTACTAATCATTATATTATTTATTTGTATAATTTGTCTTATTATTATTATTGCTATTATTTTGTAGCCTTACTTGTGATTTATCTTTTAGGCAATGATGGATGGTAATTTAGCCTCCTTTTGCCTACCCCTGTATGTAATGTTCAGACATAGTACCACTTACCAAAGGTTCTTTAATGACAAGGATGATTTTTTTTAAAGACTAATAATGGAAGGCAACACATTATAATGGCTAAAAGTGTGGGTTCTAAACTTAGACCCCCCTCCCTGTGTTCAAAATCCTTGATCAATTCTACTTAATCCTTACAAGCTTAGGTTTCTTCTTTGGAAAACTGATTTTAATAATAACAGAGCCTCTGTAGCGGGGTTGTTGCCAGAATTAAATTTAAGTAACATTCTACATGTCTGTCACATGGTAAATACTCAAGAAACACTAATTTATTGATAGTCATATTTTTCTTAGGTGCTAGGGATTGCATTGACGATTAAATATGATGAACTCACAGATGAATAAGTAATGTAAAAGGGTAGATCACATGTGATTTAACCAAGAAATAACAGAATGGTCTCCAATGTTATGCATATACCATCACAGTCATCTAATAAGTATCACAGGTCCGCCACTGCAGTGAAAAGCAGGAGCCCTGCTTTGGCATGGGACAACCCTCTGCAGCTGTTCCTCAGCCTGGCCAGTTAAGCATACAATCACATCTTTCTGTTTGCTCCTGTCCTTGTCCATGCTCACCAGGTACAAAGACAGGAGATTGGCCCAGCACAAGTCGGAAATAGAGTGTTTCACCCCCAAAGGGAGTATGGGGAATGGTGGGAGAGCAACAATGAGCAGGTAAGCAAACTGTGAGTGGCCTGAGGTGGTGTGAACTAAATGTATGCAAGCTAGAGGAACAGGTGGCTCCCTGGTCTGGGTCCTCACTCAACTGTGCATCCCATATAGTGTGTTCAACCTGGGCCACCACTGGTCTTTTGTGTGTGTTTGATTTGCAAAAGCCATGCCATCTTCATGTGAAGTGATGGGAGCCTCCTGTCCCAGATGCTGCTGTTCCCAGGGCTGTGCGCTTTGCATGTCTGAAGCCTTAGCTCACAGTCAGTTCTCCCTCGGATTTAACATATTGGTCAATTATTCCTGGAGTTTGCAAAGTGGAAGAGCTTGGAGGAAATTTACATTTTGGGATTATCCAATCACTTATGAAAACAAATGCAAAAGCATAAGACTGGTTTTGAGAGAAAGATTACAATTGAGGGAAGATGCCAGCCCCTGATCCCTGACAAGCCTGGAAATTAATCTGACATCCTTTGAGTGTAATGTCAACTCACAGCCAAGGGCAAATGCCATGCCAAACTAGTGAACTGTAGAGGCAAGAGGCTTTTCGTGAACTGAAATCAAGAAAGCCAGTCCTCCTCTAGCTACCATAGCTTTGCATCTCCTCTACATCTCTATGTTTAGTGGTGAACCACCCCTGTCGCTGCGCTGTGCATGTTCCTGCACACCAGGCACTCCCAGCTGAGCTGTGCCCAGTAAGCTGCGGTATTTGGAACTAGAAGCGTCAACTAAGCTGTGTTGCATGAAATAAACGTGCTTTATTGCATGGGACTGGGTTTCAAGAAAAGGGTTCTGGAGATAAAGAGTGTCTAGATTGGCATTAACCAGTTTCAAAATGCTGGAGGGGCCTAGAGGTTGGGGAATCTCATGGTGAACTAGCTGTCCACCTCTCATTTGTTGTGGCATTTCTGAATCCATCTGTGAGGTGTGGAGAGGAAGCTCCTATAAAGCATCCTGGATTCAAGGAAAGGGGAAGTGCAGGAAGTAGAGTATATACCTGTGTGTGCGCATGTGCTGAGAGCAGAGCTTGAGAGCCAGCTGCATAGCAAGAACCTAATCCTGTTGAATCCTATTGAACCTTCACCCCAAACATTGTTTTTGCTTCCTCAGTAGGGGTTCCTTCTGTTTTTCAAAATAATGTTTAACTTTCTCCAAGGACCACTGCATTGCACAACTTCTGGGGGACCATTCACATTGCAGTATGTGAAAATGGTGCCTGGAACTGTGCAGCATGCAGCCTAAGCAATCATTCATGGAAGCTCTGGCCAAGAGGTTAGCCACCTTCATCCGTGGCTCCCAGAGGCAAGGCAATGATAGTGTGTGTACGTGTGTAGGCACATATGTGTGCACACTGGTGTACCTGGTGGCCTTATGCCTACAATCCCTTTCTACAACTGTTTTTGGATCTCAGTGTGTCTGAAAGATAAGTCTCAATGGATTATTTTGTGGGAGTAACTCAACAGACTGCTACTAGGGCTCCTGGTCTCCTTCCACCATGCTATGACAAAATGTCCTATTTCCTGTCTTTGAAAATCAGCCAAACAGCACCTGAGTTCACTAGGCAAGGTGAAAATGACTGCATCCTATGAGTGCAGGGGCTCTGTCCAGAGTGACTTATAATTTGAGGCCATTCTGTAGGACTAGAGTTCCCAAACCTAACAAACTTATCTGCCTATCAAACATACTGAGGCAAAATCTTGGACAATGTAACCTAGAAATCTATAGCACTACATATTTCCTAGATCATTCCATTTCAGCTGGTCTCTGAATAGGAATACTCCATTCAGAGATGGCATGGATGTATTCACGGCAAACATTAGGTCTCAATTCTGTCTGTCATTCTGTGTTCTTGGGAGTGTTTGGTCAATGCTTGGAACTCTTAGATCCAATCAGCCCAACAATTAGATTTGCTCAAGGATGCCTTGATTGAGAATGGACAAGAGACAGTGCAACACAGAGGGTAAGGGAACCCAGAGCAAGCAGACCAAACTTGCTTGGGTGAGGTCTAGATCTACAGGGTAGGCACTCAATGTGTCTAACCTGGGAATGATCCAAGTTTCTCTACAACAGCAAGATACCATGTATCGTTCGTTTCCTCACTTGTTTGAACATAGCCAAGGTAATGACAAGGCTTATTACACTGATATGTCCTGTTGGGGCAGAGGGGAACAGAACATGCTGTCGAAAAGATAGTTCTGTTGGAGTAACCACTTCAGCCCCTCAGATGAGCATAGTTAACTGGGAACAAGTGGTCTTCTCTTCCTACTTCTTCTTCCTTCCCATTTACTTAGCATTAAATAAAAACTGACAACAAGAGACAAAAGAATCTGTGGAAAAGGAAGAGAGATTTCCATTAGGAAGGACAAAAGGCCTGGAGACCAACAAAAGGAGAGGCTGAAATTTCTAAGACCTTTAAACCCATTTTTCCAACCTTATATTTGTTCAGATACACACACACACACACAATGACATTTTTCTATGAGAAATAAGTTTAAAGTGAATATTAAGAGAAAATATGTCATAGAGGAGACAGCTGCAATATAAACCATTTCTAATGAGAGGTTGAATAGTTGATCCCAATTTGCTTACAGTGCAATTGAATGGAAGGGCTGGAAATAAGATAACTGTATGAGACTTTTATAGATACTTTTAGCATCAAACGATATGGTTATCTTTCTTATTTATTCCCCCCAGTTACTTCCCAGACTCATAGTCATTATCATATTTACTCTGCAAATAACTCGGCTGGTTCTGTGGCCATTACTGAGCAACCAGTCCCAGGGAGGGGCTAAGGAAGCATAAACAACCAGAGAAAACCAGGGGTGTCCCCCTGCACCTCATTTGCCTATGTTCTATAGTGAAACTTTAGAATGGGCAGGATCCAGTGAATCCACACCTGGGTGATTCTTCGGAGCCAAGATGCCTGGCAGCTGAGGAGTTTTAAATGCATGTAGTCATATCATGCCAGAACACTCTTATCTTACATGTAACATTGGCAGGGCCTTAGAGACACTCCCACACTTCTCCCTCCTACCTCCATCATAATAATGTGGGCATTTAAAACATTGTATGTATCCATTACACTCTAGCTTCCTGAAATACTATGTTGCTGTTTTTTTTTTTTTTACTCCTATCTGGACAGGCCATCTTTTCATATTTTCCCAATGGACAGTGTAAGTGTGTTTCAGAGCAGTCCTCCTGTGCAGAAAAAGTGAAAGAGTCCTAAACAGGGAGGTGCTCCATGAACCGGAAATTCTCTAAACCTTGTTACTGTGGGAATTCATACTGAAATGGTCTACCTTTAGGAATGGCTAAAACCTCAGCAATGAATGTTATTATCTCCTATCTCAGCAAGGGTATTCTGATGGAGTCTGTGTTTGATGTGCTCATGTTGGGTCCCATTAAGAAAGGCACAGACATTCTGAGCCTCCCAGTCTCTCTTTGAGAAAGGGCTCCCTTAGTCCAAGGAAAGTGGTAGATCTATAGTCCCCCAAGGCTAGAAGAGATGAGGGTGCTACCAAGCTATTTTTATTGTTGCTACATCATGATGTTAATTATGTGAACTATTAACCCCCAATCATTTGAGTAACTGATTTTCACCCAAGTAGATGCAGCATCTAATTTTAGTGGGTATAAATGTTTACTAAATCCTTAGAGAATCTGGTAACAGTGCTGTCATGATAATTATTAGTTGGCCCTAAGATCGAAAAGTAACCCCAAAATGTGATGTCTGCGTTAGGACTGTTTTGCCTTTCTTTCATTCAATTATTACTTTCTTCATTTAATGTTCATTTATTAAGTACCTACTATGAGCCAAGCACTTTCAAAACTGTGGAGATAAGTTGATAACCAAGCAATGACTAACGCCCTTGAAAATCTCTAGTCTATTTGGGAACAGAGTCAGAAAAGCAGATAATTGAACTTAATATGGAACCTCTCTCCCACAGGACCATTTCTGTCAGAATAACTTCTCATTTGATATCATTTATGTAGCTTATGTCAATGCAAACAGAATTAAAGGTAATAGAAACTGAATAATAAACTTGAATGGAGTGTTCAGATAGGGCTACACACGCAGCTATATAAAATTCAGAATCCACGGAAGAGAACGATTCTGTCTTTCCAGGACAATAGAGCCCAAGTTAGTTGCTTAGCAATAGATTAAGACTCCTGCAGTAGACTTCTCTTCTTCATCCTTCCCAAAGTCAACCTCAAATTCATGTTCTAACTTACATTTAGAGATGTTCTAAAACAGATAATAATAATTACTGTACATTAGGCACCATAGTAGTCCCTTCATTCTCCCAAGAACATTATAAGAAAGATATTTTTTGTTTCCATGGTATAGACAAGGAATATGAGGGTCAGAAATATTAAATAACTTCCACAGTGGCGTGATTTACTGAAAATTCTGAAATCAAAGAGACTCTTAAAATCTAATTCCAGCTGTAACCAGAATGTGACATGTTTTAGCTGAGATGCTTCAACTAAGATCAAAAGGTCCCTTTTATCTAAACAAATCATTTCTTCAGCAACAGTTATAAAAATCCTGTGACATTTTACAGTCCCTCAATTTCATCTCTGTGATATTCAGGTCAATGGGTAGAGAGCTTTGAAATTTATTATCAGGTTATTTTATGGGTATGAACTTGGGTATTCTCGTTTCCTGAGACACTCCACAAGGGTATCTCTTGTTACCCCTTGGTTCATGTGTCTATCTCGACACTTATCACAGAGACAATATTCATGATGGAAATGACTGAATTTAGGGTCAGATTTGGGACACGGCTCTGCCTTTTATTTGACTTGAGCAACTTAGTTAACTTCCATAGCCTCTGTTTTCCTACCTATAGTACAAGTTAATGATACCTGTCTAAACCAAACATTCAAGCTGATGGAATTTACTTCATTTCTCAAACATAACCTGCCCAGTGATTCCACACTGGGCACTACACTGAGCACAGGAGATGCACTGTTCCAGGTTAAGTGCAGGAACAGATTTGTAA